TTCTCCTTCAGTAAGAGTCCATCGAGTAAGGGAATTAGTATATTGAAGTCTAACAACAAGATGCAGTTAAACACTGAGCTTAAACTAAATCTACTTAGGTGACACTAAATATACTAAATCAACCTAACACAATGCAGACTATCTTTAATATACAAATATGATGCTACTGACCCATTATCAACAGCAAATGTTGCTTGGGTTCATTTGATTTTCTGATAGCTATCCACCCACATCTTTTCTGGTCCTATTTAGGACCAAGAACATGGATTTTTGACATGTCTGGCCACAACGATGAAACATACTAGTTCAATTTTCCACCAGATTGAAAAAGAAAACACACAACTCATACATTAAAATATATCCCTTGTTAAACTGTCCCTACTTCAATCCTCCACTGTGTTTTAGGTCTGCTTTATTCTGAGGTATTTTTTTACATGCTGTCTGCATTTAGAACAGAGAGGATAAAAAATGAGACTAGCAGAATATAACACCTGAACCACATTCCCTAGCGGTTTTCTCTGCTCCCCAGAGTCCCTTATTTCCAAAAATATAGAGGTCTTCGGAAAGGTTAAATTTCATATTAGAACTAATTCTCTCGAAGCACGATGCTGACCCTGATGATCTCCAGTCTCCTTCCAGTTCTATGACTCTTGTCTGCTCCTTTCATCTTTCCTTTTTATCTTTGCTGAATCCTTGAAAACTGGTCATTTACAAGTTATTAAGCTTTCAGAGTTAAGGTGAGGTGACACTCAGGCCCACAGGCTCCATCAGTAGCTATAAGGAATGAAGCTTCTGAAAGCTAATTTTAAAGTACATCCTTTTCCATGGCTCCATCTGGATCACCTCGCCTACCCAGAGCCTCATGGCAGCATTATCAATTCCCAAGAGACTTGGAACGAGAAAAGTTCAGGGTGTCATCACAGTTGCTTTGAGAATAGATTACACATTTGTGAGATAAATGGGGAAATGTGAATACGGAGTGTGTATTAAGCCAAAGAATTATGCTTGATTTTATTAGGTATGATCATGACATTTGGTTATATAAGAAAATGTCCATATTTTAAGAGTTGCATACCAAGAAGTAGGAGTGAAATGACATGACGTCTGAGATCTGCAAAGCTGCTTAAAATACTTCAACAAAAAGAAAAAAAGATAGATGAGGCAAATGCTACAAAATCTTAAAAATTATTGTTTATATATACGAGGGAGCATTATTCTACTCTGTACATGTTTAAAATCTTTCATCACAATTTTTAACTTCCCATTACCCATTTAAAGATTATATTATTTACAGAGGATGTGAGGGTGACTATTTTTAAAACTACTTGTATATATAGTAATTTTGCTTTTCACCATTTTGGCTTTTGGAAAGGGTTTCCTCCTGGTTTGGTTATTTAAAATAGACTCTCTAACTTACTACTAAGAGTTTTTCCGTTGGAGAAGAGGGATGGAATCTGGTCTTATTCATCAACGCAGACACTTAACGAACAAGATACACTTAACCAAACAACTCCTTTTTATACAGCTTCAATTAAAATTAAATCAACATTAAAAACAAAACAAAACAAAAAAACACCTCAGGAACAAAAGCCAAATCACATTATTTAACCTCAACTACTTGCCACCCATGGTTTGTTTATGGCAACTCCTGCTTTCAGCTCTTTGACACTGTCAACAAGGTGACTTCTATTTACTTTTGAATACAGATAGAAGGGAAAGGCTCCATTTATATCTAGGAAGTTATAAAATAGAAAAACTGGAAACTGAAAACTCGAGCTTCCCTTGGTACACTCCTGCCTCCATCAGTCAGTCAGCAGAACAGAGGCCAGAGGGCCAAGAGCAAGCTCGAGTTTTCAGATCTTTGTAAATGGGATGATTTTGAGAGTAAACTTGGCTATCAGATGCTTTGGAAAGACCAGGAAACTCAAAACTACTGCTGTCAAATGACTGGATGCAATGGATCAAAATGACTGAATCTTTTGGTCACACCTTTTTTCCCCCCACTATTTAATAATTTGACCATGTAAAAAGGAAAGTATTATAAATTCCTCTTTATACAAAACTGAATTAAGTCTAAAACATTGTGAATTTACAGTCTTCTAGTTTGAAGAAAATAAAACTAGTGATAAGTAAATACAATGACAGCATAAATTATTCGGAGGTCAATCACTTTTACTACATGATACATTTAATAAAGATTTCAGCTTGATACTCAATCCTTTTATGATATAATATTGCATAACAATAATGAATACTCATAAATAAATATACAGCTTGTAAATGGGATTGAGAGGACACAATTGGCTACTCAGCAGTCAGAATTTTCTAAATGTAATTACTACTTTACAATCTAAAGTACTACTTTAGATTGTAAAGTAGTAATTACATTTAGAAAATTCTGACTGCTGAGAATTGTGTCCTAATTCTTCAAAAAATCATGATCCATACGTGGCATAGAGGACAAACTCTTAGTGAATCAAAATGATCAATGACTCTGCATACAGATTACTTCTTAATCTCTTAAGATTTCTAGTATGTGAAAGATAAAAACCATAGTTGATTTTTAGGGAATATTTAAAAAATATAAAAGAATATAGCAAGTCCATGAACTTGCTATCCATATTTAATAAAAATCAACATTAGATATATTTGAGATTTTGGAAGAAGTAAGCATTATAAATGTGAACCACAGGCTTTTTCTAGTTCTATGATTCAGTTGTCACACAAGTCCTCCATTCTCCCTTTCTATTTTATTCAAACTCTCCCAAATTTCCCACACCCCAAGTTGTCGCTTCTTTGTCTCATAGACCCATCTTTCTCAATTACTTCACAGAAAAATTTCTTAAAGAAATCTATACTTTCAATTTCCACTTCTTCTCCCTCTTGTTTATTCTCTAATCTACTAAAACCTAATTTCTCAACTTCTATTCAATTCCGAAACCTCATAAATCCAAGGTTATTTTTCAAACTTCATATTATTTGACCTCTTTAACAACTTCTAAGGCTGAAAATCTTCAGAATTGCAAATTATCATCTTTAGACAACGAAGAGCTATTGTTTTGACTGTGCAAGCCCAGAAGGCTGGGGGGAAAGGCGTGTATGGAGGTCAGTGAGTCAATAACGGGAGGGAAGTGGAGGCAGAAGGAAGATTTGTTTTAGACTACCACTTCAACAAAGAAGGGCAGAATTACAGACCAGGAATCACAGTTATGACAACTCTAGAAGATTCCGAATTCAGGAAGAAAATATATGTGCATTCCATTTCATTCACACAGACAAAAAGACTGAAGGATATACACCAAAATGCTAACAATGATTATATTTCTCCATGTTAAGAAGATGGATAGTTTTTATTTTCTTCTTTATAATAATATATATTTAATTTTCTACAATGAACATGCATATTTTTTACTTTATTTATTTAAATTAGTTTCAAGTTTACAGTACATTGGTTAGACATCTTCATGCATATACGAAAAAGGCTGCCTTTTTTTCACCCTCTTAAACAGCAAAGGTCTGCACGCCTGTCTTTCAGAGTAACAAAGGAGGTTGTTGCCAGGGAGATGCAGCTCCACAGAATACTTGAGAAGAGAAAATCCCTGGGGAGCGAGTGGGTGTCAAGAGCTTGAATGAGGGAAGAAAAGCAGACTGGGTGCACGGGGCTCACTCAGTCTTGGGAGAGAGGAGACCTCATGGGAACTAGTCTGGCCTGAGACAACCCAGGAAGCAACTGGCATGCCCCCGGGCCTTCTAGTCAGCCCTCAGGCCCTTTTAACCCTCCTTTTAGGGTACTGTGGAAATCTCCCTGCTGCTCTTTCCCCACACTACCATGGTTCCACCAAATGGTGTCCCCACTACCAGCTCACTGATTTCCAATCTGACCTCCACACAGCTCCTAGTGTTTTAAACACAGGAAAAATACTTCAAGAGTATTTAGAATACAGGATACTTTATACTCTCAAAAGTATACAACTCTCTGCTGACCTTGACCAATTCCACTTCCCAGCCCTACCACTAGGCTGCTGTAGCCTTGACACCTGTAGTTCTCTGACTGCACACACTCTTCCCTGGCCTAGAATTTTCTTGCCTATCCCTACCTACTTGGCAAACTTTCACGCACCCTTTATGTCCAGCTCAAAAGTAAAATCTTCAGCAAAGTACTCCTAGTCAACTGGTTGCTCCCTCCTCTGTACAACTTAGTTGTTTTGTACATTTTATAGCACTTCGTACTCGGTTAGAATTATCATTCAAATACCTGTCTACCCACTAAACCATGAGATGTTTAAGGCCAGGAACCACATATCCTCATGCATCTAGAACAGTGTCTAGATACAGTGGGGACTCAATAAATACTTGATGAACTAAATAAACATGTTTTTACTACATATTTTTACAGATATCTCAGAAATAAATTTTAGGAGCTGACACTAACTCATACTGGTGCTCTTTAAATGAAACCAATTCAAAGTTTAAGACCTAGGTGGCTTTATAGTGTAGTGGTCAGCACGTCTGCTTTACATGCAGAAGGTCCTGGGTTCGCGCCCCAGGTGGAGCCATCGATCATAGGGTGTGCCAGGTCCCCCAAGTGCGCCAGGCATGCCAGGCCCCAGGGTGCATGCTACGAGCATGTGGGAGGGGACGCCTTCAGAGATCCAGTTCTGAGTAACCGGTAAGACTTCTGCCGTATTTACAGCTATGAGTATAAAACTATAATAATTTGGAATTACCAACCTTCTAAATAATAATTTCAGGATTACATATTGTGGAGAGATTTTTAGCTTTCTCTTGCATAGTGGTGGAAGGAGCACTGCAAAGTGTTACAATGCAAAAGTAATTCAAATATGGAGATTCTCGTTGAAATCAAATCACTAAAAATGTCTGATAACCAAGGAACAAGGGAAACATAAAATCAATTGCAAGAAAATAGAATTTACACATAATTCTCATTTCCATGTAGTTTAACTTTCATCACGCCTGCCTATTGCCTACATTGAATTTACCTGAGCTAAAGTAGGAATTGAATTTTGACCAGTCTGGGTCTGCATATGAGCGGATTCGCTCTCTGCCACAGAATCTGTTATACTTCCATCCTGCTGAGATTCAATTGTTTCCATGGTCATTTGTCTGAAAAGACAATAAAAAGGAAGAAATATTAAGGTCCTATCTGAAACATTTCTGTTTTTACCTATCTTTCTGATATTCATTTCTCTCATCCAAATGTACTTATTTTTTTCAAGAAATATGTTCAGTGGCAGATTCCTAACTCTTCAAACGTAAGGCACCTTCTCTGCTCACTGGATATGAACATTATTACCAAAAGAGCACTGCAAAATGTTTGATGAAATTAGTTTATTAAAATTTTTTGAATCTTATTAATAAAATCTCCTTGATAATTATTTTAAGCCCTGTAGTATAAATAAGTGATAAAAATGAGGTTTTCTATTTTATGTGAAGTATAAATATTCTATGATTCTCAAGGCCTAATATAAAGCAGATGCTTTATAACATGATGTAATATGAAAGAATGTTCCCACTGTCTAAATAAAATGCATTATAAAATAAAGGTATGCCTACCTTTTTAAGCACTAAGTAGTTTCTGATAAGCCTCTCAAATTGAATCACTGAGTTGGCCATTTGTTCTGAAGCTCCTCAGTTAAAGAGGAGAATCTAAATTTTCCAGGAAAAACTTCTGACGTGACTTTTTGCCTATGATTTCAACTTAAGTTAATTATTTCTATATGAAGTTTTTCCAGATAGAAGGTAAACCTTTTAATAATAAATTTTACCCTACTAGGAGAAAATAAAAATACCAGCAAAATAAAACCAAATTTTAAAAACTCATAGGAACTACTCCCTGCTGTTGTATATCTTTTCAATTGTCAATAATATGATGCGTTTTTTACCCTAACTTAGAAGTCTAAATATACTTCCAAAAAGCATGCAAGCCACTCAGAATTTTAAATTTAAATGTCCAGATCTTTTTTCTCAGATTTAAAGAGATGTCAGACCCTACAGATCTTCAGCTACAGTCTTTCACTTAATACCTTCTTTTGCATTTCAGCAGCCACTAACTACCTTCCAAGCCTTCCAATCTCAAACCTATGGGCCAGTCTATACTATACCTAGAGTTACTTCTCACTATTCAAAGTCATTTTAATACTTATGATCATGACAATTTAGAGTAATTATAAACAATAAAAATCTATAGTCTATTATAAAAAAATTTCTTTCCCTCAACATCCCCAAATTCCTTTACCTCTATTTTTATTTCCCAGCAGGGCCTCTCCAGCTGTAGGTAAGTATAGGTTACCAACCTGCATAAACTGCCCAATTCCCATAAGAAGTTCCCAAAGATAATATCTCAGAACATTAGTTCCACAGGATGTGAAAAGGTATGATCTAGGAAAAAGAGTAGGGGGAATGCTTACTCAAAAAATTTTAAATATCCAGGATTAAAAGATTTTGTAGAACTTCTCAGAAGCTTGAACACGCCATTCTGCCTTGAGAAGGGTTGAGGGTGCAGGTCCAATAGGTAGCATTTTCCAAAACTACCTGACCACCAAAAGCCCTCTTTACACAAAGCATGTCCTAGCAGTAGTGTTCTGGAAACAACTTGAGAAATGCTATCTTATGCTATTTCTTACAACTTTATTAAAAACTCTCTTAAGGCTCAGCCAAGAATTTGAGTGTCTACTCCAATATTAAATACTGAAAAGCCTTTCTCCCTAAACTCTACTCATTTTAGAAATATTCATTCATAGCACAATCTACGTGACAGGCCCTGAAAATACAAAAGTGGGTTAGTTACAACCCTTGCCCTGAAGGAATTCTCTCATTAGTTGGTCCTTAGTTTCTCAAAGTACGGTCCTTGGACAAACTATATCAGAATTAACCAATGTACTTGTAAAAAAGAAAATAATAATAAAAACAAAGATTCCCAGGCTCAACCCCAAATCTACTGTATTGAACTTTCTGGGGATCTAACTTTTTCATATCAAAGAGATTCCAATGTACATTAAAATTTGAAAAAAAAACTTAGGTTATTGGTAAATTCCATCAAGTAGACCATAATGAATATAAGTAAAGTAACTTCTTAAATTGTGTGAAGTATGTTATATATGAAATGCTTTGGGAAACATGATTTAGTTTGCCTGAGGATGGGCCACGTGAGTTTTATTTTGAAGGAAAAGAAGAATTTCCTTCAGGTAGAAAAGGAAAGGAAGACTGAAAGGAAGAAAGTACAGAGTACGTTTAGAAAACATTATAGCTGATTATAACAGAGAATCTGGGTGACAGGGGAGCCTATTTAGATTTAGTGGGGAGAAAGAGTAGGACGGTTAGAAGTAGGTGATAAGGCTGGATGGAACCAGATGAAGAACAGCTTTCAATACTCTGGAGAGAAAAAAAAAGAAATCTACCTCCAATGCCTAATCTGTTTCAGGCCCTTCAGTATCTATGAAACCAACCAATATTTACAAAGTTTCAACTATTTGATATCTACATAGAATTCAGTCAAGAACCAAAGAACCAAACAATAAGCTTAATAGGCAAAACAAATGGCCCAAAGTCCATATGTTAAAACTCCTGAATGAAGAGAACCTCTCCTGGTCCATACTTTAAATCCATTCATTTTTATTTAAAATACAATCCTCATGTATCTAGTTTTTAAATACACTGGATATAAGAAGATACAGCTGACAATGGGTGAAACTATATAGAATATAATAAACATTTCAAGAATTCCAAGTGTGTGGCAATTTGAGTCCATACAGGATAAAGTTGCCTAGTTCTTTATACTAAACAAATTGAAGTATTTATTAATTAAAACTCAATAAGTGATATTTACAATAACTATCCTGAGTCATCAAGAAAATGTTAACTATACTCAGTATACTTCAAGGAAAGAAGGGTACACATAATAGAAATCAGGAAGACTCCCATTAAAAAGGCTCTAAATGCTTAATTAAAAAGGGAAACTTAAACTACTCAGGACTAATCTTTTAGAGAGATAATAAAAGACTTCATAAGTTATTAAATATTTTTAAATGTTTACACATGAAAGTGATTTTATATACATTATCTGATGCTATCACCTTAATAGTTCCCTTTTTCTCCTGGGTATTTCCCAGAGTTCAATCTTTTGTCCTTCTCCTCTTTGCAACCTATGTATTATGGCTTCTTCAATTCTATATGCAGGTAACTCTCAAATCTGTATTTATGCACATCTCCCTTCTACTGAGCATCTCAGCCTAGAGTTTTCACAGACACCTGTTCCTTCCTTTATATTCCTTCTTTCAGTCAAGAGCATTACTGTCCATTTAAGCTCCAAGCTAGAATCATGTGTCTATACATGAGTAACAGATCAGCTACAAAAAACCCACAGTTAAATATCAGCCAAATCAGACCCTGAGCCTCGTACTAAAGAAAGGCAGAAATGGAAGGTCAGTGGCCACGCCCATTCATTCTCCTTGCTACACTTGGTTATTTACTATAACTTCCTATCCCAACACTGGACCAGCAGCTGAGTTACTGCTCCTCACAACTGCTGCTCTGAAGACCACATATCACAGACCATGGGCCTCCCTGGAAGCCATGACTAAATTCTGATGCCCCTGCATACAAGGCAGAATTACATCCATTAATACCTTACATCCCTATTTCTCCAGTCACTGTCAAAGCTATAAACTCTTTTCATATTTCATCTTCACTCTCATAGCTAGTACTTCCTTTCCCCCCAGAATACAATTGCTCACTCCTATTCTCCCTGCAAGCCTTAGCAATATGTTGTCTGGAACTCCTAAAGCCCCCATAACTCCTCACAAGAGAGAGTTGCTTGTCTTCCCAACTTCATCAAGATCAAATGTTGACTTGGCATCCTCTTTGATTCTCCACTACTATTTCCCAGCTGTTCCTCCTCTGCTCCTTCGTAAAAACCTTTGTTCCCTTGAGGCTCACGGTAATTTGGTGTACCACCCTATACACATCCATATGATAATCATCATCTTCTACTCATATCCAGGATGTAAACTGAAGATTTTGACACCTGACTCAAGAGCCTTCTTCTACAAGTAATAACAAATGTTGGAGAGGATGCAGAGAAAAAGAAACCCTCATACACTGCTGGTGGGACTGCAAATTGGTACAGTCACTATGGAAAACAGTATGGAGGTTCCTCAAAAAACTAAGACTTGATCTACCATATGATCCAGCAATCCCTCTACTGGATATTTATCCCAAAGACTTGGAAAAACCCATATGTGAAAAGATATTTGCACACAGATGTTCATAGCACCTTTATTCAACAGTGGCCAGGACTGTTCAAAAGAGAGGATTGGCTAAAGAGCCGGTGGTACAGCTTCTTTATATACAATGGAATATTACTCAGCCATAAGAAGAGATGAAATACTGACAACTTGGGTGTATCTTGAGATAATCAATCAAAGTGAAATAAGCCAGACAGAAAAAGTTGAAAATCACATGATATCACTTATATGTGGGATATAAACGTAAAAGCAACAAATGAGCAGGACAAATAGACTCATAGACATGGACTATAGACTAGTAGTTACTAGTGGGGTGGGGGTGGGGGAGGGAGATGGGGTAAAGGGGGTCAAATCTAGGGGAGCAGGGGGAGAGTAAAGTGGGTAAAGAGGATCAAATATATGGTAGCTGAAGGAAACATACAGATGTCAAATGATAATGTACACCTGAAAATTATATCTTGATGTTATGATCCTGCATTTTCCACTGTCATCTGATTCACTGACAATTCCTCTTTTGCCAGTTCCTTCTCTTACTCAATGTTAACCTTCAACATTGTATACGTCTTCAGGGCTCTGTTTAGCCTTATCGCCTTCATTCTCAAATCTCCCCGCTGTGTAATAATATCATCTAGATTCTCTAGATTCAAGCTTTAAGCTTATGACTCTCAAATCTAAATCTCTATTCCAGAGGTCTCTCTTGGACTCTAAAATCATGTGTTCAAAATACTAACTTAACATATCCAGATGAATATCCTTCAGGTACCTCCAACTATATGGGTCCAAAACTAAACTCTTTTTCTTCCTCCACAAACACATTCCTTCTCTGAGTTTCTCATCTCAGGAAATGGGGCCCCACCATCCATCCAGTTGCTCAGGTGGAAACCTGGGTGTCATCCCTGAAACCTTCACTCTTTCATTCCCTACAGCATCATCACCAGGTGTGATGATTCTACCTTCTTAAGAACAATTCAGTCCCCTTTTCTGCCACCACTGTATCTCCTTAATCTAATCTATGCCCAGAGTTACCTCCCTAAAACATATATTTCTGCTTAAAACATTTCTCTGCTCAAAACTCTGCAGACAGCTCCCTACTGACTATAGGATAAAATCTAAACTTCTTCCAATTATCATAACTACAACTACCATTTGTTGAATGCTTACCATGTGGTAAATGCCTATTAGTTTTAATCTTTAACAACTTTATAAGGTCAATATACTTAGTTTTTCTTTCAGAGACAGAGAAAAGGAGACATAAGAGGTTAAGAATTCGATCTTACCACAAAGGTACTGAGTGGCATAGTCAGGTTTTGAACTAAGGCCTTTTTCCAAAGTCCATATTCTCAGTTACCAAACCAAACTGCCATTCAATCTCTTTCACAATGTGATCCTATTTTACTTTTACAGCCTCATCTCCAGCCACTCCATTCCTCCCCACACTCTGCATTCTGGCCTCCTTATAAGCCCCCTTTTTTTTCAAACACACATCTGTCAGATGTTACTAAAAATGATTAAAAAAAAAAAAAAAAAACAAGGTTCAGAGAAATTAAGTGACTTTCTACAGGGCGCATAATCAATAGCGTGAGGGAGGGTGAACAAGAACTCTGGGACTATGACTCCAGGGTTCATTTCATACCCAGTTTAGACACTTTACAATGATATGCTTTTGAATATGCTGCAATTGTTGTTACAATCTTCATTCAGATATGCTTAGTCTTTCGCACTAGGATGCAGAGACTCTAATTTTATCCCAGTTGAATTCTTCTGGAGTGCTTCGTATATTTCCCAATACATGTCATTCAGTAAAAGATTGATACTAAAATCAATTTATTTGAAGGTAAAAATTATCTACAGAAGACTAAGGTCAATACTATCAATTTAAAATATGTACCCTATCATTTTCAAGCAAGTTTATTCTGCTGATTTACATCCAGCAGCTCTCTAGCACAACCTCCTAAACCCCCTAAAAAACAACTCCAGGGCAGGATTCAGGGCAAATGATTCAACTAACATTCAAGTGCTCAACACAGATCACATACTGTACTGGGCATTTTCAAACACTACCTCAGCAGGACATACTGGACCCAGAACTCAGCTGTAAATGATGTATACACAACATTAACATCTGTAAGTCAGTGTCAGCTAGTCCAGACAGAATTTATTTATAAAGTGTAAAAGAAAGATCCATTATAATCCTGCACTGTTCATCATGTATTTGATAGCTAAAATTGAAGAGATGTATCATAGAATATTTTCTTACAAATCTCATTTTCTATAACAATCAAATATTAAATAGTATACTAAAATTAACAGAATAATCTATGAATTAAGTAATTATATAATATTTTAATCTTAAACAATCATTAGAGAAAAAAGATCAATTAGTAATTATAAATTACAGAATATCTAAAAATGAAAACATGTAAGATGAAACAGTAAAAAACTAAAACAAAAAAGTCCATTAAGCACTATAAACTAATAGCAAGCAAAATACTGGCAAATATTCAGTCCCACAATTCCAAAGAACAGATGAGGTTTGCAACAATGGGTACATTTAAACTTATGATTAATAGTAGTAGCAATATTCTTTTCTCATGAAGTTAAGTATTTCATCTGAAGTCTTCTTTTTATTATTTAGCAAACTATTTTCTTCTTTGATTGAAAAGTAAATGTTATCTCAATATGTTCTGAACATATTTGGTTTCAGTTGAACAAAATGTTAATATATTGTTTTAGATGAAAAGCCTCCACCCATTAGCACAATTTTCAAAGACTTCTCAGGTGAACTACTTTTGGGGAGTAGCACTGTATTTATCTGCTTAATGTTATTTTCTAGGATGTTAACAGAACATTCACATCATATTGCAATTACGCCCCGAAATACTGAAGTACAACGGTACATACTGTTGGTGCAGCACAACACTAACAATAGGTAGACAACCAATAACATACTTTCAAGAAATGAATAAAAAGAAATATATTCATAAAAATTAGATTTACAATTATAGAAATACTGAGGTAATTAATGACCAAAGTTATTTAGGCATACTTATGTAACAAGAACATACAAGATACATATATAGAAGGCAAAATGAGAAGAAAAAGGAAAAACCTTTTAAAGAAATTCTATCATAGGTACCCAAGGAAGTGTTCTTAAAAGATAAGATAGGAACAAAGAACAGAAAAGGAAATACAGGCCAAAAATATCTAAATGACAAATAAGACAATGGCAGTTTCCTAATTATAATTAACTGTTCAATTAACTAATAAACTTCTAAAATCTTAGTTGTATCCACTTTGCAAAGACAAATTACACTGCAGAGCCCTACTCTCGGAAAAATTTTTCACCTTTTAAAAACAGAATCCAGCTGGAAAAGGAAAATTATTAAAGTTGTTTCCATTCTCTATTTTTAAATAATTTTATCAAAAATGTCATAGAAAATTTATTTTCTTTTTAAAGCTAGAGCCAACTAATGAACCAGAATGTCTCTGAAAGCAACCAAATTGAAAAATTCTATTTGGATTTCTGTAAAACACTCGTAGAGACTTTCTTGTTTTACAACTGTTGGGTACAAGGAGGAGGAAAAGGAAAATTGTCCATGTCCTTAGATGGTCTCCTTTCTAACTGAAAAGGCCAGCACTTAGCATAAGATGAATGTGCATGTCCACTTATCCCCAATAGAGCCTAGCACAGTATACAGGGTAGAAGAGGAATTCCTTAATTGAATGGTTGCATAATTTGGGTACATACAATTACATTTTATTATTTTAATATATGTGCACAGGTATATGTATGTGTACATGTCTACATTATTAACTTATTCCATCATTTTAACTTTAAGCTCTCCAAGTAGAATTTTCAAAAAACTGGAAAAACATATCCACCTACCTTAGATTTGTCTTAATATATTTTTTCCTGCCACACTTGCTCATTATTAAGACATTTGTAATCAATGCTTTGCTCCTTTACTGTTTTCTTCTTTAGTTATCCTGCAGTAAAATTATAATGTTGAATTGGGAGATCATAACATTCATTTTTTTCCTAAATTTATTTAATTAGTTTCAAGTATACAATACATTAGACATCTATATAGTTTGTAAAACGATCCCCATAATTGCTCCCTCCCTCCTGACCCTCCACTTAGCCAACATATTAATGCTAATTGCATTCCCTATGCCGTGCTCCCCATCCCTGTGACCATCCATCAGCTACTAATTTGTACTTCTTTAACCCTTCACCCAGCCCCCAAACCCCCTCCCCTCTGTTCATCACCAAATTGTCCACTATATTTGTGTCTGTTTTTTATTAGTTTGTTCTTTTCATTCCTTAGATTCCACATATAAGTGAAATCACATAGTGTTTATCATTCTCTGTCTGACTTAAATACCTTCTAGGTCCATCAAAGCAATATCATTTTCCATCCTCTTCCTTTTAGTCTGTGTGTCTTTTAATCTCAAGTGAGTCTCTTATAAGCAACATGTAGGGGTCAAATTTTCTTATACATTCATCCACTCTATCTTTTAGTTGGAGCACTTAATTCTTTTCCATTTGAGGAACTTATTGATAGGAATGTAGTTGTTACCATTCTTTATTCCTGTTTTTGATACATGTTTTACTTCTTAAAGAAGTCCCCCCAACATTACCTGTAATACAGGCTTGGTGGTGATAAATTCCTTTAGTTCATTTTTGTCTGGGAAGCTCTTTATCTGTCTTTCAACTCTAAACGATAGCTTTGCTGGATAAATTATTCTCGGTTGTAGATCCTGGGTCTTTATCCTGTCAAATATTTTTTGCCAAGCCCTTCTGTCCTAGTGTGGGCCTCCTTGGATCCCTGATTTTTGGAATTCTCTGAGATTCCTGGGATTTTATGTCCATTTCCTTCACCAGGTTAGGGAAGTTTTCCATCATTATTTCTTCAAACAGCTATTCAACATCTTGATTTTCTTCAGTTATGCCGATCAGACAGACATTTGGACCCTTAATAGTGTCCCATATGCTTCTTAAATTATTTTTATAGTTTTGGCATCTTATCTCTTGCCATTCTGACTGTGTGTCCTTGGCTTTCCCATCTTCTAGATAGGGCATTAGATCCTTTTCTCTATTCACTTTTGTTATTTCTTTGTTTATTCCATTTACTATACTTCTCATCTCAGATAATGTGTTCTTCATTTCAGACTGGTTCCCTTTTATAATTTCCATTTCTATTTTTCTGTTTTTTTATGAAGTTCTCACTGAATTTATCTATACTTTCCAAAAGTTCATTGAGCATCTTTATAACCAATGTTTTGAACTCTGGATGTTATATTACTTGACTCCATTCTATCTGGATCTCTGTTCTGTTCCCTCGTATGGTTTCTGCTGATTTGGCTGCCCATTTTGGCTGCCTTTCCGTGTCTGTTTCTATGTACTAAGCAAAGCTCCTAAGTCTCCTGGTCTTATTAGTGTGGATTTGTGAAGTAGGTTTACAGTGGCACAGTCTTGAGAGGGGTTTAGCTGCAGGCCAAATTTAGCTCAAGCCTCTACCCCTCTGGGGCCACCTGTTAACATTCAGCAAGCAATCCACAAATGCTGTGCTTATAGTTGCCTCCAAAGGCAACACCAGAAACCGAGGCCAGCTGCCTCCAGTGTGAGTCTAGGCACTGCTCAGCAAGGAGCACCTGACTTGCTGAGGATATACCTGGATGGGGCTTGGATGGGGCCCAAGTTGGGAGAGGTGGGATTTCAGGGAATCCTCTGAGTGGAGTGACCTCTGTTATCCAGTTTGATGATGTCACAGCTATGGCTGCGCTGTGTCTGTGCTCTGGGAGTGGGGAAGACTCAAAAGGGAACAATGGATACTGGCGGCACTTCTGTACCAAGCAAGGCTCGCTTGGGCCCTCATTCCGACAATGTCTCCCTGTAAGTCCCTGGTGCCCCTGCGCCGCAGCCAAACTGGCACTGGTGCTCAGAGCGAGCAGGTCCATCACCACGAAAATCTGCTTGCGGACGCAGCCCCTTTAAGAGGCGTCTGCTGCTGCTGCTGCTGCTGCTGCTGCTGCTGCTGCAGCAGCCTCCATCTTACTCACCCATTCAAGATGGGGCAGCCTCATGTCCTTGCCCTACCCTACCTTCTGCCATTGCAGGGTGATTTCTTGGATTTCTCCCTAGTTGTATGGCTTGTTCATCTAGATCACAGGCGATTTTTCCTTGCTGCTGCTCCTTGTTTCCGTCACAAGTTTGATTTGGTCACCAGAGGGATAAACAGAGCCTCTATCATCTACACCATTTTTTCCTCCATAACATTTTATTTTTAAAAAATTAAAATCTCTCAAAACTACATCAGAAAAATACCCTAATTTCTATAAAATTTTAAAAAAGAACAGAAAGCTGAAAACAATTCCATATTTTTCAATCTTATTTCTATTCAATTTTATGATCTTTCTAGAAAAAAAATTTTTCAACTTAAATCATGTGCTATTCCTCAGATTCTTCTCTACCGAAGAGAAAGCGGTGCTGTCTAAACCACTTAATGTATGTTAGACATTGCGCATAGGTATCAGCTCTATTTTAAAATGATAATAATCAATAAACTGAATTTGTCATTTTCTTAAATTTCAATTCACTGCAACAAATCTGTCGACCATTTTTCATTTACCCTAAATTTGAAACTGAGTTTTGCCAAAGAATTTTAACTCCAAAAAATATATTAACAGTTTGTTTAAAATCTCCTATCAATAATCTTCAACCTATTACAAAAGCTGTTTTAGGCATTCGTTTTTTTACTAATATCTTTTAAAAATATGCATTTGGCATGCCAAAGTAAAACTGGCAAAGACAAAAAAGGATATCTGGGAGACCTTATTTTAGAGTTGCGAAGGATGAATGTGCACATCCAGAAGTACCTTCTACATGCACCCAGCAATAGCAACACTTAACCACAGATATACAGCCTTCAGGGTTCCCTTCTAAGTGGTTCCCTCTAAAATGGTGCCACACCATCCCAGTCAATTTTGAAAGTGAGTTTGCCACACCATGCTAAGGGCACTAAACCAATGGTTATTGCTGCTACCACCTGCACAGAGACAAGAGATGGTAGGGCATTTGGACCAGGCTACCTACAACACGAATAAAAAGCAAGGACAGTGGGATAGTGCTACACCTTCAGATTAAACCTTATTCTGTTACATGATGCTGTCATTTTCCATGGGGACATCTTATTTTCCATAAAAAGTGTAACCAAGAAGGGCAAGACCATTTATTTATTAAAGAGTGACAGGCACCCACAATATGCCAGGCCTTTGTGCTAGGCACGGGAGACACAGATAACAAAACGTCCCTGCTCTTCAGGAGCTTGGCATTCTAATGAGACATATGTTTAAACAAAGAATGATGACAATATTACTTGAGTAACAATGATTATGGCACCATATAAGTAAGTAACCGCTAATTTCTATAGTTCTCTTGGAAATATCATTTCCTTTAATTTTTGAATAAGAAACACATTCTTATGGTTCAGAATTCAAAAAGTAGAAAAAGGTATTCAGTAAAGTCCAGGAACAGCTACCTATTTCTTATTCCCAGAGGCAAGCAGCATTGAAGTACCAGCCTCCTGCTACCACGGCCACAGGATGGCAAAAAAGACAACTAGACTCACATCAGAATAACGACCATCAGGTAAACCTGATCCTGACTCAGGCTTATCAGAATTATTTCATTTCAAGTACCAGGACATTATCACTGAGTGGATTACGTGCTCACCAAATCACAAGGCTTTTCAGTCCCGATCTTCCTTAAGAGCCCTACAGCATTTCCTATTCTCAAAATTTCATCTCCCTTGAACTCAGTGACACCACTTTCATGCTTTTCTTCCAAATTATCCTGTCCTCTGTTCTGTGTTCTTTAGTCATTCTTTAAAAGGTTGGTAATCCTAGGCTTCCAGTAACAAAAATCTCCTTCACATTTTCCCTAGGCTATTTCACCCTTACCTAAGTCTCAAATCTCATCTCCAGCACTGACCTCTCTCTCCTGAGCTCTAGCCCTTTTGACAGCTGGTTAGATGTCTTTTAATGGCTTGCTCACAGATCTTCACGCCTAAAATGTTCAAAACTAACCTCAATTCTCTTGTTCTGCATCTCTCCTCTTGCTGGACTCTTATCTCAGTGACTGGCATCACCATCGACTCAGCCTACCTGGGAATCCACGTCTTCTTCATTCCCCACTTTTCTTGCCTCCAGTTCCAGAGAAGGCAAAGTGGTCTGTCTAGTGATGGTGGCACAGTTGTGTGTCGTATAAAAAGCACTGGTGCTGGAGCTTGATCTGAGTGTTAACTTGAGTTCTATCACTTATTAGTTGTGTGAGCTCAAACGATTATTTAATTTCTCCAAGCATCTTTTCCTATATGCCAAAAGAAATGACATCAATCTTGTTTTGAGGAAATATAATAATAAATACAAAATGTCCAACTGTGCTTGGAATATAGGCAAGGACCACTAGCTTGCTTAACCTCAATGATTTTATTTCCTAAATATCTTGACTGCTCTGTTTTCTCTATTCTCATTGCTACTTTATTAGTTCTGAAACTGATCATTTCTTGACATGATTAAATTAGTAACAGCCTCCCTATAAGCAGTGTCTCTTTCTATAATTATTTCACCTCACTCAAACCTCATTGCAATCCACTGTAATCCCCACTCCATTAGAACATAACGCTCTATTCAAAATGCAAATCAAAACATGCTATTTCCTCATTTAAAACCCTCCAATGGTTCCCTCTTGCCTTATTAATAGCTATCCGAAGTTTGGAGCATTATAATTTGAGGTACTTGGCAACTGCTTGATAAAGTCTGTTGCAAAAGCATTCGGATTTTAAGGTATGCTATTTCTTTCTAGTACATAAATTTCTCAGGTTCAAAATTACCTTGTGTGGATTTGTAAAGCAGGGGGTCCCACATTAATACAGTATAAACTATGCATACTTTGAAAACTCAATTGCTTTTTAAAATATTAATCTCATCCCAAATCTGGTTTTAATGTCCTAGAACATGCTCCTAAGGGGTAGATAAGGATTGAATCTAGCATCCCCCATCTGCACATACATAAACACCTGAATGGTTAAGAGCTCAAATGTCCTAACATGGCCTTAATACTTAAATATTCTATTTAGTCTAAAACATACCCGTTGAATTTGTCATCATGTTGCATGATACAGTATGAGGTTATAATTTTTAAGCTGATCTCCTTATACCCAAAATCAAAGGATACTGATATAATGTCCTGTATACTACTGATATTCTTCAAAAAATAATTTTAAAGTCTTATCTGACAAGGAAGCTTTATCTTTTAGAGTAGAAAGGTATACTAGTTTATTGCAGGCAAATAATACTTTATACAGAAAGAAAATGAGTTAAAAAAATCTTTTGTGCACATTTGGATTTCTGTGCTGTATTTGGAAGACATTTATCACACTGATAAAAACTTTCTATTGTATATTATTTTTGACTACAAAAGTAACATTTGGCTTTCACCTTACTCTTCACCAGTGTCTTGTTTTATTCACTCTCTGGCACAACAGCTTCAATTTCAATGCCATTAAATATCCCTTAATGTAACAGCTCTCTGTACATTAAATAAATATTTAAAATATGCTGATTAAAGATAACACAAGTAGCTTTATACAGGTATTTAAAATATGCTGATTAAAGTTGGCACTTATAGTTAAACTTACAAAATTCTAAACATCTACTCTGCTGTGTTTAATTGCATTACCATCAACTTTCTGGAAAAATTAGGTAATTATAAGAATCAAACTTCTTGGGCAACTTTTCAAGAATATAAAAGCTTACTTAACCAACTTCCACCTCATTAACCAACTCACTGTATTAAGAATGTTCGCCATTCCTTCTGTAAAAACCTTCTGTTTAGCTAATGCCCACTGCATTTCTTCTCTAGTGTGCCCAAACACTTCTGCTCCTATTGGCTGGGGTATACGCTTACCAAAATTTAGTTGTATTTATTACCAAACTTGATTACTCCAGCCATATTTACAGTTGCAATTTGGAATTCTGTTAAACATTAGATAAAATTATTAAATAGAGAAAACAATTTAAAGAGATAACTGTTTCTATAAAACTAAGCTGAATGCTTTGGAAATACAATGAAGGCAAGTTGCTTTCAAAACTCCTGCTTTTGGAGTAGCTATTACAGTTGAAGAGAACTATAAAATATTGGGGAAATATGACATAAATGTAGAGCTCTTTACAAAGACAATTGTAAAACAACCTAAGTTCTTCTTTCGCTTTCAAAAATCCCCAAATGGAAATGGCAAATTATGCATTGAGATTTTTTTTTTTTTGGCAAGGCCAAAAAACAAAAACAAAAACAAAAACACACCCAACCAACCAAACAAAAAACTCCCACCATTGCAATTAGCATTAGTCAAATTAAAAAGCATGTGGAATGAAAGGTAGTATGCCTCTTATGGAAGCAGAAAGAACACAGAAAAGCACAATCTATTTCTTTGGTTCTGAGATAAAGCACAGCTTTAGTTCTTTGGGAAAGTAGATCTCCATAGATTAACTATGATTTAAGTAGCAACGGCAAGTAAGGTTTGAAAGATAAAGGAAGAATATGAAGCTCATATTGTAAAGCTGGTCCCTCTCAACTAAGTTGATTTGAAAGTTGGAAGCAGGGCTAGCTAGGAGAGAGAATTCATTCCAAAGAGGCATACACTTGAAGTTGACAGGAATGAGCCTATGGTTATTATGCATTTTCCGTAAAGAGATGAGTACAGGAAACACAAAGGGAGGCAGTAACAACAGGAAATTACAGCACTTTCAAAGTTCTGTAATTTTTGTGAAGCAAAAAATTAGCATTACAAGTAATAATGTGCACTTTAGTGTAAGAATTGAAGAAGCCGGGAGCAATACTTGTAAAGTTATCTGAAACACTTGTGAGGCAGGACACATAACCTGGAGACGTACCCTCCCTCTCCAGGATGTGGCTCCTCCGGCTCTTTTCAGACCCTTCCCTGTCTCAGTCCAGGCAGGACACAAACCAAAACCAGTCCTAGTCAGTCTGGCTGCCATCTTTGACTGAGACCTGACCTTTGGCTAATTATAATATCATCATAATCTCATCAGCATTGTAGTAATCCTGGCTCCCATCATGCACCTGATGCCATGACAGTTCCGGAAACATCAAATAAGAAAGTAGGAAACCGAGCTCCCTGCCCACTGGGAGGAGACAACAAGGCTATGTCAGTACCATATCTCCAGTCTCAGCCCTCAAGAAGAAAAGCCCACTATCCAGAAATTCTCAGTGTGACTATATCTCTGAGTTTGCCCGCTGGTATCTCCCTCTTAAGTGTGTACTTTCCCTTCAATAAACCTTGTGCTTTCCTGCTTGATATTCATCTTACCCATGAATTCTTTCTCGTGACATAAGACAAGGACCCGGTCACCGGAGTTGTGGGTCACTTGTAAGTAATGTCTTTAATATTTTGAACATGAATCATACATACAATCAGGTGGCTTTCTAGTATAGATTCAAGGCCACTCCGACTTAATTGCTTGAGATATTGCCATTATTTAAGAAATCTTAATTTCTAAAGTCACAGAAAGTTTAACTATTCAAGCATCTCTTTTTTAATTCATTACCCACCTGGTGCCTGCTTTTGGCTATTTCACAGTAGAATGAGATGCTAAGGAGGAAATGAATGACCAGTAGAATGAGATGCTAAGGAGGAAATGAAAAATAAATTCAAATAATCATGGCCTATCTCCACCTCTCCAAGCACCTACCATACCTACCACACCACCAGCATCCGCCCTCCCCCTGCCACCACCATTACCACTGCTTCATGAAGGGAAACAAAATTTAAAATCTTTTGGGGGAGTTATCTGCTGGACTAGAGTCACTGTAGGATTTTGCTTTTCAATAGTATGTTTTGTTACTACACTTTAAGTACAACTACATTGACTACTAATTTGTAAACCTGGGAAAGTAGATTAGCTAAAGTCAGAGATTTCAAAGTTGTTATACTTACCTAGATTGGTCCTATCTTGTGTATTTGAACAAAACTTATTTTTCTAGGTGCAGAAACACGCCTAAATAAGTTAAATTTAACTCCATCAATTTTGAGTAGCAAATGCGTCCTATGCATCTACTATATATGGTAACATAGGTCTTTATGCATGACATAGTTGCCCTAATTCCAGAGTTGGAAGCTTTCACCATTAATCAATGCTGGCATAAAAATTCCAGCTTAAAATATTTCTAAGCAAAAAAATCATTTTTGTGCTATCAATGAAAAAAATTGAGGCTGTTTGAGATTATGAACAAAAATGTATGACTTCTGACATTCCGAGTTAGGATGGTTCTAATTTTAAGTATGCTGAGTTTAAAAAAAAAAGCTTCACTAAGATAACTTTGAAGAAACTCAAGTTTATTTTGTGAAAATCTCAAAGTGAAATATTAGAATCACATGAGCCCCACTGTTAAAATTTTACAGGATTTTGATATTTAATTGGTCTGGTTGTACATTGTTCAGAAAATATACCTGATGCTTCCTATTTTAGAAGAACTGGGAGGTTTCAAAGGAGCCTCACACCACAGCTGCTAGTAACACTTTGTTGGAGACAAGCATCCTTCCTCACCATTTATTTAGTCTTTAAGCAAAACTCCCATAACTTCCTAGCCTACACTTTTCCTCAAAATTGTTTCACATGCATCTGGCCAGTAATTTCCTGGTATGCCATTTAAGAGATGTGCAAAATATTTTATTTTTTAAACTTTCTTATAACTGAGTTATACCAATAAGACTCAAGATATCCTCATGAGTAATAGCTATATAAATTCCCACTAACGTTATCCTTTAGTTTTCTTCTTCATTCTCCCTTATTCTCTACAGGATATCCTAGAGCATTAGAAAAAAGAAAACCTGTGAGTAAAAGTATTTACTCTTAACAGCAGCACACTCTTTATTGTGAAGTTCCTATGGTAAAAGTATTTTAAATATCTTATGTATTCTTTAAAAGGAAATTAATGAAATGATTTTAAATTTATTTCTACCTATGTGAAACAGGTGAGAAACACTTTCCCTGAAATGTTTTTATACTCTATATATGTATTGATATTAAAATCACATCCCATATACAATATCTCTTCTCAAAGTTGACTTTTACCTATAGAATCCACCAGTTCAATAAAGTAGAAATACTTAACAGAATTCAAAGACATTTCAGGCTTATTTCCTTAATGACCAATTTGACTGTATATCAAAATATCAATGGTTCATCTGTTAAATGTTTGCATTTCTTAGTTTCATTCAGCTTTATTTTTGAACGTTCTTTCTAACTAGAACAGGACATTTGAGTGCTTTACAATAATAGACTATCCACTTCAATAATAAACCTGGTCTAATTTTCTGGCCCAATACTTATTTGTAAAGAATATCAAGTTGGGGAAAACAGGATCAGAAATATGCTACACTAGTAAAGATTCAGTCAGGACTCCTTATATTAATAATCTGAAACTCTTCCCTACTTTCCATGACATAATCATAATTCTAAACAAAATTTCATATTTGAATAATGCAATCATATGGCTCAATGGAGTCTGGAGTTTGTTAAATTCATCCGAAGTAAATTTCATTAACCTGCTGGAACAGTGCAAAAACAAGACTAAAGAGCTCTTCTGTGTTTATATATCCAATAAAAATTTATTCATATACTTACAAAACATGTACACAAAAAAAATCAGTGTAATTACAACTTCACACTCACCAAAACAATTCCAGTTGACCAGCAAGTCACTGGGAAAGTATTCACTTACATTGACCTATTTACAAATTCACCATAAACGTTTTGAGCAATTATCAACATTTCATATGACAATGCTTTCAGTGTTTGTTTATTCATCCAAGATAAAAACATTTAAATGTCTCTTAAAAGTTATGTTTGAATCAATAAATATTTCCTTAAACATCATTTTTTTATACTTCGCATTCACCGGCCAAAACAAATTGCAATTTGCTTTCCTTTGGGGGGCGAGGGGAATTACTTCAAGTTCAAAGATTTAAAGACTCTGATTTATGAAAGGAAAGCAGCTTGTTATTCAAAAAAAAGATCAAGACTAGGAGAAAATTTTGGTACCCAAAGGAAAAAAATAGAAAACATGAATTATTAACATAATCCGATATAATATTCATACTGCACCTCTCTTATTGTGCATCTAGATTTATATTTATCTCATGAAAGGTGGTTGCACTCCCATCAGTCCGACAAATTAAGCAGAAAAGGAAGAAATTTTATGCAAGTCACGTTGGTAAGCCGCACTGTTGAAAGGGGCTCTTTCGGTTTTAGTCGGACTTTCAGGCTGATCCTGTAAGTCAAAATTTTTGAAATTTTGATCGCAAACTGACAGCAGCATTACAGACCACAGTTCAGGAAACAGCTAAGTGATTTCAAACAGGGCTCCGGTATACTTGAAATAAGCAGGAAGATAAAGAACTATGTTGAAAATGTGTTTATTCCCATGTTCTGGGAACCTTGCTAGAGGACCCTAAAAGGCAAAAATCAAAAGTAAATAAGAAAAACCGCGATATGTTCCTTCTTCGCACTATCTCATCAGCTCTATCGCGTCTGGGGGCTAAAATGAGTCAATGGCGATGTCCTTCAGACTCATGTTTCGGAGAAGAAATGGGTTAACGTTAATTTACATGCTAACTGAGTATATAAAATTGGGACAAAGGTGCTACTAATTGTCGGCTGTGGTAAATAAAACCAACGTCCTTACTTCTTGCTTCCCTTTTCTTTGCATAGTGAGGACCACACTCATCAGAGCAAGAAGTCTTTTTCAGAAAGACTTGTCCAACGTGTACCAAGTTCAAAGGAGTCAAGAAGGCCAAGAGCACAGACGAGCAGCCCGGCCAACACGGAGGCGACCCTGAACCGACGAGGGGGAGCGGACGGGAAGGCCGCCGGAGAGGCCCCGCCACCCCCGGTCCCGCCAGTCCCGCGCCCCCGCAGGGGCCCC